TCTGGCACCGTATCTGATGAGCACCTTGACAATATCAAGTCTACCTTTCATCGCTACACGGATCCATCGATTTATTTAAAAAAAAGTTATCTGAATTTTCACACGGGATTAAAGATACCCGCACCTGCAATCATCAAAGGTGTCCAACCCCCGCGTTTCATACAATTTACATCCACATTCTGCTCACATAAATAACTCACGCATTCCAAACTTTCAATCGCTTCATGTAGCGGCTGTCGTCCTACGGATATATTCGAGGCTAATAAGTCGATTTTAATTTTTATGGTGTAACAATCAAAAAGAATGTAGAATTACCATGATCGTTAACTGCCATAGCATTTCCACCATAATTCTGGATAAGTAGGTGGAGCATGTTCTTTTTGTGAAATCGAGCTGAAAAATGAATCAAAGTATCTCCGTGTTGGTCAGGTGCATTCACAATTTTACGAGATTCTTCACACGAAAAAGAATTTAAATATTCCTGTAGGGAATTCAAGTCTCCTTTTTGCACAAATTTAACCGCCATTTAGTTCAAGGATATCGAAATAATAAAATCAAGAGATTGAGAAAGAGATGCCTATACACTGGATATGGATCAGTTATCGTTTAAGTATTACAAAATTACGCCACAAAAATTCACGACTCTTTTGTATCGGGTTTTGAGAAATCTTTAAATGTCATGATTGAATTCTTTCTTGTACACTCGATCATACGGTACATTATAGTGAAACACATTATGTAATGTATTAATTATTTCAAATAACATCGCATTCTGGAAATACAATAATAAAAATTATCAAAGCACACCCTCTCAACAGTTATCATTTAAATATTTATTGATGATGATATTATGGTGCGTTTTCTCCTACAAGAAAAAACGCATTCGGTAACAAACACATCGGTCACCCTGACTGTTTCTCGCGCCGTCCCAATCCCTGATCATAAGTAAGATATGAAAGAGTTTAAGATGGACAGAAGTAAACACCGTGGCCTTTGATAACAATTTACGTCATGTTGATGCGGTCATGACAAAAGTGATGTTAGAACGTTCTGGCAATTTAACTGTGAAACGTAATAAAATACATACCCGCTCTCACCGCCCATACTTTAAAAAGATGGGTTCATGTCTTCATGATAACAACACCTTTCGTAACTGTGATATCATCTCAGCGTGGGAATCCTGCACTAAATATCTTTCCGAGACATCTACGGATTCATCGTTATGGTGCGACAGAGCCCTCATCAATTTAGAACTTTCAATTCACGAGCTCTCCTACGTTGATGCCCTCAGAGCCCAATTTCTTATAACTTCTACAATCGACAACTCCTTGAATTCTATTGTAGATGATAATCTCGGCTTTTCATATCATCCTTCACCAAGTATTTCCCAATCAACGCACCTCTCATTGGATTCAAATTTGCAATATCTGCTCGTAAAATCCTACGATCTCGTGTCCGAATCCCTTCACCGATTGGGCCTTGTCTCACACGCTGTATCGGTGTTAGATCATCTATTGAATCATCAGAAGTATAATAAATTCCTGACGCAAGATCTAAGAAACGAGTTAATGTGCAAAAGAAATGATTACCAAGAGAAGCTGAAGGAACGGTCGATTTATAATATATCTTATGTTTCTAAAATTTTCAAAAATCCAAATGTCAGAAGTTTCAAGAAAGCCGAAGTTATTGAGTTGATAAAGAATATGGGAACTTGCAAGTTCGAGTATCCTTGGGATAAAAGGAGGTTTGAGAACCGGATATCGGACGAACGGATTCGGATTTTGCAACAAAGATTGGATGTTTTTGCCTCGAAAAGAGTAGAAATTGAAAAAATATATAAATGGGAAGAATCGACGCCAGGAACAATCGGAGAAGACCCTTCTATTCATCTTGGAATTTTCGCGCAAGAAGAAATTCCCGAAGACAGTGTAATCTGGAGTGAAGACCCGTTCATCACAATTCA